AAACTGGTGAGTGAGCCCTCCCTGTCCTTCATTCCTAATCTGTGCCCCCTTTGTTGTGACTCCCTTCCCATCTCACCGGGTGGAGGGAGTGAGTACAGACCACATGGTCCCACTGTGGCTTAAAGCACTAGACAAGGGTTTGAGGTATAGACCATGATCTTTACTCACAGGTAGAGCCACAACCTTTGCTCCTTTAGCTGATGCTTCTCTCACCAGTCCACAGGCTCGCTGAAGGTTATCTGATTTAACAGCAGATACATGAAGCTGAATGAGAGCCAGGCGGAAGTCTAATAGCAGAAAAGAAAAAATGAGTCAGCAGAATTCCCTCAGGAAAAACTCTTCAAAATTTAAACTCGCTAATGAGCACTTAACAAAATAAATTTGCTTATATATTAACACATATACAAACACTTCCAACTCATTTTGTGGTCTGTCTGTGACTCTGGAAACTCCATGTCTCTTAATTCTCCATGTCTCTTAATACATGGAGAATATTCATGAATACATGGAGAATATTCAAACCTAGGCTTGCTAGTAGGAACCATACAGCTCAGGTCAAAGACCAGAGTTCACACACTATTAACACTTAGCCTGGCAGTACCCAGCCCAAGTTCTAACGTAAGACACCACGTGACAGAAAGGGAGACCACTAGTCACCTAGACCACTAGTCACCTAGACCTGTGCCTTCCTTCCCAGTGTGCTACACGCTTTGTGAGCCAGTTTGTTGTGCCCATCGCCTGATGAGCGCTGCATGTCCTAAAATGCCACTGTCAAACTAAAGAGTTGTATAATCCCAAAGGCATCAAATACGGGAATGGTTTGCTTCTATCCCTCAAATCACAAGTAGTCTGGACAACGGCTATAAAAACCAATAAAATATGGATTCTAGCCAAGAGACAGTTGCAAGTGTTACCACCACTGTCTCTACTACACCCAGGCAGGATTTACATTTGCAGGCTCTTGAAGTACACAAAAGATCAAAGCAAGATTTGTGCACATCCCTTGGACTTCCTTCCATGAATCTCCTAGTACCTTGGGCTGTAGTAAAACACATCCTGATCAGGCAGAACTGTGTCCTTTTGAAAAAAAACCAAAACAAAACCAAAAACCAAACAACAACAACAAAAACCCCCAAAAAACAAACCACTCTCATAAAGAAAAGTACCTCTCTTTTCTGGAAAACACCCCTGTCATACAGTCAAAGATCGCTACAGGATAAAGAAAGAGCTGCAGGCAACACAGCCTCAGTGGTCAGGGAAACAGGAAGAACCAATTGAAGCGAAGACGAGATCGGGTCAGGAACAGTCACAATATCTTTCTTCTTCCTGTAGTTCTCACTTCAGTAGCTAAGCAGCTAATTCCTAGAGGCAAATGATTAACTGCTGACTTTGCCACGCTTCATGGGAGAGACTCTTAATACTTCGTTTATTGAGTAAACAAAGCTTTACATCTGTTCAAAATCTCAGTGGCCACAGCTGGCTTCCAGACCCACCCGGATAACCACACCAGGAATCTATCTAAAACTTTCCCATATTTGTAGAATATTTTGTAGAAATATTTTCACATATTTGTAGAATTTTTGCTCAGAGAAATTGGACACTTTAAAGATCTACATTTCAGCATAAATTCACTTTTGCAAGAAAACCCAAAAGAGCACCTACTAGGAAAAACTTTAACTAACTTCCTTCCTATTTAAAACACCAGGAAACCATTAACCTTATTTTCCCTGTGTGTTCAGGTTTAGAGTCTGTAAAAGGGCAAAATTAAAGCTCAGTCACAACAGAACACATGTACTTGTGCCCACAGTTTTGTTTAAAACACTGAGATGTAGAAGTAACAAATAGAAATGGCCCAAGATCTCTTCTTCTGGCTTTGCCGAGCTGCCTCAGAAACTTCTTTAAAAGCAGACCTCAAAATCTTTTTAAAAAGCAGTTTTGGGAAAAAGCCTGTAGCAATGCAAACAACAACCAGGTAAATCCTATCAGGGTAAAACAATGTCTCGCTGTGCAGCGTGTGTTTTTTGGACGGCAGCAGAACCTCAGCACGCCCGGTTTGCTCAGATCAGATTCCGTGAGCAGTGTGGAGCGGAGCAGAGTGCCCGGGGCAGCTCGCTCGGGCACCCGCGTTACTTCACAGCCCTTCGAAGGCTCAGAGCACCCAGGACCGAGACCTTTCCAGCGCGGACCCCGGGGGACACCGGCCGGGCAGCAGCCGGCCCTTGGCCCGTCCCCGGCTGCATCCCCACGGGCAGGTACCAGGGTAAGGGCCCGCTGCGGACAGGGAGGGGCGGCAGCGGCTGAGGGCGGCGGGAAGAGGCGGTG